GGAGGGAGGGAGGGAGGGAGGGAGGGAGGGAGGGAATATGACAAAGCAAAAACTTATATATCATGATCTTTGTAGAAGAGGAGCAAGTATATAATGAAAATGTATGACAAACTGTTTCCCTGATTTCTCTATCACTCAAACTCTCTGGCAGCTTCTCCGAGATGACAATTAACTAAAATATGGTGAAGGTTCTCTCTTTTTCTCCCCATCCTCCCACCCCCTCAACCTTGCGCATGTTACACAAGAACTCTACCAACCTGAATACTCTTTTATTTCTTATAGAGAATAGACTACTTATCCAATCAATTACATTTCATATACACATATCTCATCTGCACATTGTATTTCAGATACCCACTCTATTTATTAAAGAAGAACAGTAAACATTACATTTCCTATTGCATATCCAGAGCAGAATAATACCATAACAAACCTAGGCTTCCCAATAAGCTACAGAAATGGCTCCTGGACTTCTATAATCCCCCCCACCCCTTTGAACTTGCTCTTCATGAAAGCATCCTGGGAGACTTACAGCTGTACAGAAGATACACTGGCATTCTTGGAGTGTAGTCATCTTGTCCACAGACTGTTCACACAGGCAGAGCTTGCAAGTGATGAGGGGGGCCGGAGACAGGTCTCCAGGTGCTGGATTTTCAGCTGTCATGGTGAGATACTGGAACCCAGTATCCGAAGCCATTAGTCTGTCTTCAGCCCTCTTCAGTCTCCTTAGCCCCTACACAAAGATTCAAAGCAGAAGGTATTATACCCATTGGTACTACAGGTGTTATTTCCCAAACTCAATTGGAGAATCAACTGAGCAAATCCTCACCTTCAATGATTTCTCAAAGTACAGCTAATATATTTCTGAGAACCAAAGAATGAGGAGTTTGCTATCTTGGCAAGGTGTTGAGTACTGAAATTTAAGCTGACCTCATTGGGCTGTCCTGATTCATATCACCCAAGCTGTGAGACTTAGAAGGTTGGGGGGAGGTCATGGGAAACGGTCAAGGTTACAACGTTTCATTTGGATGAGATGAAGAGTTTGGGAAATCTACCCTATAGCATGGTTAATTTTCTCACCACACAAAGTGGGGGGGGAGGGGGACAGCGAGGCACCCGCTGGTTCACGCCTGTAATCCTAGCTACTCAGGAAGCTGAGATGTATGGATCACAGTTCAAAGCCAGCCAAGGCAAAGATGTCCTCCGTGAGACTCTTATCTCCAATTAACCACTAAAAAAAACAGAAGTAGCACTATGGCTTAAGTGGTAGATGCTATCCTTGAACACAAAGAGGTTCAGGGACAGTGCCCAGGCCCTGAGTTCAAGCCCCACAACTGACACACAAAAAAAGATTATGTAAGGTGATGATGTTAATTAGCTTAATTGACTCGCTTCACGTGTGTATACAATATATCAAAGTATCATATTGCATATCATACCCATAGATGATTTTTTTATTTGTCAATTATTCCTTAAGTCTGACAGCGAAAAGAGGGGATTACTACTATAAATAAACATGCCACTTGGGAGTTGAACCATTACAACCAATTAAACAGATATTTAAAACAGGGTGTCACTTGAAAAAAGTGGTTAAAGAATTACCAGATGGGTTAGGGGGAGGGTGTCGCTCTCAGTAGCAGAGCACTTGCCTGCAATACACAAGATCCTGGAATGAAGCTCCAGCACCACTAAAAGAAAAAAAATAACTATTCCCATAAGATCTAACAATTTTACTTCTAGATCTATGCTTAAAGTACTAAAATCAGAGACTCAAAAAAATACCTGGATATCTACATTCCTAACAGCTTTAGTCATAAACAGCCAAAAGCTAAAAATAATCCAACTACTCAACAACAGTTAATATATAAAATATATTGGGCTGGGAAGGTGGCTCAGTGGTAGAGTGCTCGCCTTGCATGCTTGAGGCCCTGGGTTCGATTCCTCAGCACCACATAAGCAAAAAGAAAAAAGCTGGAAGTGGTGCTGTGGCTCAAGTGGTAAAGCGCTAGCCTTGAGCTGAAGAGTTGAGGGACAGCTCCCAGGCCCAGAGTTCAGGCCCACGACCGGACCCCCCCCCAAAAAAAATACAAAATATAGTATTTACCTACAATAAACTATTAGACAACCCTCAAAAGAAACAAAATAGCTAGGTGTTGGTGGCTCACACCTTTAATCCTAGTAACTCAGAATGCTGAGAACTGAAAGTTCTCAAGTTAGCTCAAGTAGACAAGTCTGAGACTCTTATCTCCAATTAATCAGCAAGAAAACAAAAATAAAGTTATGGCTTAAGTGGGTGGTAAAGCACCAGCCTTGAGTGGAAAAGCCAAGCAATCCAGAGTTTAAGTCCCCATACCAGCACAAAAAGAGGAAGGGAGGGAGGAAGGGGAGGAAGGGAAGGAAGGGAAGGAAAGGAAGGAAAGGAAGGAAGGAAAGAAAGGAGGGAGGGAGGGAGGAAGGGAGGGAAGAAGGAAATATAGGAGGGAGGGAGGAAAGGGGAGGGAAGGAGAGGGATGGGAGAGAAGGGGAGGAGAGGGGAAGGAAGAGGAGAAGGAGGGGGAGGGGAAGGGAGGGAAGGGAAGGGAAAGGAAGGGAAGGGAAGGGAAATTCTGATATCAACTATAATAGATGAATCTTGAGAAGACATTATGCTAACTAAAAAGCCAGACTGAAAATAGAAAATACTATGATTCCATTTACTGGAGGTACCTAGACTTGTAAAAGAGATTAAAAGAAGACCAGAGACTACCAGAAGAATGGAGAGGGGGACTTTAAGAGTTACTCTTTGATGACCACAGAGTACACCACTTAGAATGATGAAAGTTCTGGAAATGGACAGTGGTGATGGTTGCACAGTGCTGCGAATGTATTTGATGCTGCCGAATCATACAGCCAAAATGGTTGAAATCGGAGTTTTATGCTATGTATAGTTTATCCAGTTTTAAAGAGTATCACAGTGTGCACTGTGTAGCTTCACACATATTGCTTCATTTAAACTTTTGCAACCATAAAAATTGTTTTCTTTATTTTATAGATTCATTGAGATGCTGATAAATTAAGTCATCTGCCAATGCTCCCAGAGCTGGGATGTGTCACAACACAACACAAATCTATCTTTTGGCCAAGCCCAGGACCTCATGTCTTACAACTGGGCCTGCCCCCCAAGTGGATACTACAAGGAGAGGTGAGGTTGGGGGAAGAGAGGAAAAAGATGAAGCCCTTAACTGCAGCTATCTCTGAGGTGCATAAATAAAATTTGTCTCTCTACGTAAGAGATCTTTATATAGAAATAGTGGTGGAGATGGGAGGGAAGGGATGGTAGGGGAAAAACAAAGGAGGAGGCAACAATGCTTGATAAGAAATACACTCATTACCTTGCTCATGTAATTGTAACCCCTCTGTACTATATTTTCACAATAAAAAACTTATTAATAAAAAATAAATTGAAAATATGAGAAAAATGGAAAAAATGCAACCAGATGTTTCAATGAGTTTGCTTCTAATTTAAGATCTTTATCTTTCGAAGCGGTGAAAATAATCTTCCAGCATACATTTATTTTATATCATACCAAGAAAGTCATGCTCTCATTAAAGAAAAAATCAAATAAGTGTCTTTAACATCCATTTTCTTGCATGAGGAACAGTTAAGTTTCTGTCTCTTTATCCATCTTCCTACTTTAACTGTCATTCCTAGGATCAGCCCTTACTAAAACTTTTTTAAAGAGAGAACCATGGATTCCTACTATTGTCAAAAAATGTGGCCAATTCTATTCAGTTTTGGCATTGAAGTAATTATAAATATCTCTCCCCTATGAGAACAAATCCCATTTTTGGCAAAAAGAAATTGTATAGTAATAGTTGCTACCTAGCTGTACCATTGTCTCAAGACAGTCAAGGGTTGCTTGACAATTAATAGAGACACATCCTAAGAAGTGTGTCACTGGGTGATTTTGTTGTGTGTGCATTATACAGTGTACTTACATAAACCTGGATGGAAGAGACTACCACAACCTAATAAATATATATATATAAAATGTATGTATGTATGCATATATATACATATATACTATAGTCCATACATACATACATATATTCTATTTATATATGGCATATATAGCAATACATATGATTAATGTGTATTATATATGTATATATACAATACATAATTTATTTGTATCACAGAATAACAGAATTGTGTTGGATAGTGAATGGTTTAACATTAGTGCACTCTACACCAACATTGAAAAGCAAAGCAAACACATAAACGATTCCTCATCATCAGTCATTAGGTACTGCACATACTGGCATATACTATACTCAAAATGTGACTGACAATACTGAAGGGCTGGTTATACTAGCATCACACAAACAAGAGTAATATACTGACTGACAACATATGACAGCTTTGATACCCCTAGGTAGCAGGAAATGTCCAGGTTCATTGTAATATTATGGACTACTAACGTATGTATAATCCCTCATAGATCAAAAACATCAGAATGATGTTCTTGATCGGTACAAAAAGTACAAAAAAAAAAAGCAGGGAGGAAACAAACTGGATTCCATAGAACAAAAAAATAACTGACATAATCATTGCTTGTCAACTTGCTGATGTCAGTTACTAGCATTTAAGATGCTTCCTATTTTCTCCAAGTAATAACAGAAGACTTGATTCAAAATAAAACAGGAAGCTAACCAATGATTAGCTTCCAATATGGAAGACATGGACGTATTTCTTGGCAAAAGTCCAACGAGGTGCAAGATATCATGTGCTTATTCCACCTACTACTGAAAAGCTATAATCCAAGAGCAAATTAAAGGTTCAACATGCACACCAGGTTTAGGATGTTGAGATGTAAGACTTCTCTTTAGACCCATTTTGTTTACAAAAATGAAAAGAACTGCAAGCTTCCCCACAAGTGGCACTTGTGATTCAGGAAGACAGGAAGGAAGCCTTGTATTTCAATGAGCGATACAGAGAGACTCCTCAAGAAGTACCTCCATTTCTCTGTGACGGGAGCACCAATGTTCTCAAGTGAGGCCTTTTAGCCATTTTCAAGCAATGCATTCAAAAAATAAGAGGCTTTATCAAATTGATTCTGTGTAAGAAATACTATAGTAGATGGGGGGGGCAGTTCAAAGTTAATAGACTGGCCAATTCCCCTCCATTCCCTCTCAGCCTCTCAGACACCATCACAGAGCTCAAGGCTACACGGTACATGGCTGGGTATCCAGCCCTTTGGGTTCCTACTTTGGCAAAGTAAACAATGAGTGTTTAAAAAAAAATGACATACAGCAGACATGTAATAGAAGAAGAAAGAAAGGAGGAGAGAGGAGAAAAAAGGGAGGAAGAGGATGAAGGGACCAATTTTAGGAGGAGAACAACTAGTCGTAGAGCTAGGCTTAATAAGAGGCTAAGAACAGGATAGCAGTTCAGGGCTAACCTAGGCAAAATGGAAACAAGACCCCATATCAACCAATCCAATAAGGGGGGTATGGTGGCATGTATCTGTAATCCCAGCTACCTAGGAGATAGAAGGATTATAGCCAAGACTGGTCTAAGCAAAAATGCCAGACCTTATGCAAAAAAATGATTAAAGCCAAAATGGCAATGGCTCAAGTGCCAGAGTGCCCGCCTGACAGGTACAAAGCACTGAGCTTGAACCTCAGTACTACCAAAAAAAAAAAAAAGTATCTAACAGAAATCTTTTTCCCATGTTCATCAAAAATCAAGCT